CACTGGGCACCTCCACGGGCTCCAGGTGGACATTGGTCACCTCTTCAGGAGGCTCCAGGTGGGCATTGGTCACCTCTTCAGGAGGCTCCAGGTGGGCATTGGTCACCTCTTCAGGAGGCTCCAGGTGGACATTGGTCACCTCTTCAGGAGGCTCCAGGTGGACATTGGTCACCTCTTCAGGAGGCTCCAGGTGGTCCGAGGGCACCTCCGTGGTCTCCAGGTGGACACTGGACACCTCCAAAGTGTCCAGGTGGACATCGGGCACCTCCAGGTGGACATTGGTCACCTCTGATGTGTCCAGGTGGGCATTGGTCACCTCTGATGTGTCCAGGTGGGCACTGGTCACCTCCAGGTGGACATTGGTCACCTCTAAGGTGTGTCCAGGTGGGCACTGGACACTTCTGACATGTCCACGTGGGCACTGGTCACCTCTGTGGTCTCCAGGTGGGCACTGGTCACCTCTGTGGTCTCCAGGTGGGCATTGGGCACTTCTTAGGGACGGTCCAGGTGGGCACTGGGCACCTCCAGGTGGCCATTGGGCACCTCTGACATGTCCAGGTGGTCACTGGTAACCTCTGTGTTCTCCAGGTGGGCACTGGACACTTCCTAGGGTGGTCACTGGTAGACATTGGCCACCTCTGATGTGTCCAGGTGGGCATTGGTCACCTCCAAGGTGTGTCCAGGTGGGCACTGGGACCCTCCAGGTGGGCATTGGTCACCTTCAGGGTGTGTCCAGGTGGACACTGGTCACCTCTGACATGTCCAGGTGGACACTGAGCCCCTCCAGGTGGACACTGGGTACCAATGAAATGTCCAGGTGGGCATTGGTCACCTCCAGGTGGGCACTGGTCACCTCTGACATGTCCAGGTGGGCACTGGTCACCTCTGTGTTCTCCAGGTGGGCACTGGACACTTCCTAGGGTGGGTCCAGGTGGACATTGGTCACTTCCAAGGTGTCCAGGTGGGCACTGGGCACCTCCACAGGTTCCAGGTGGACATTGGTCACCTCTTCAGGGACTTCCAGGTGGACATTGGTGACCTCTTCAGGAGGCTCCAGGTGGACATTGGTGACCTCTTCAGGAGGCTCCAGGTGGGCATTGGTCACCTCTTCAGGGACTTCCAGGTGGACATTGGTCACCTCTTCAGGAGGCTCCAGGTGGACATTGGTCACCTCTTCAGGAGGCTCCAGGTGGGCATTGGTCACCTCTTCAGGGACTTCCAGGTGGACATTGGTCACCTCTTCAGGAGGCTCCAGGTGGTCAGAGGGCACCTCCGTGGTCTCCTGGTGGACACTGGACACCTCCAAAGTGTCCAGGTGGACACTGGGCACCTCCAGGTGGACATTGGTCACCTCTGATGTGTCCAGGTGGGCATTGGTCACCTCTGATGTGTCCAGGTGGGCACTGGTCACTTCCAGGTGGGCACTGGTCACTTCCAGGTGGGCATTGGTCACCTCTTCAGTGACTTCCAGGTGGTCAGAGGCCACTTCTGACATCTCCAGGTGGACATCAGGCACCTCCAGGTGGACATTGGTCACCTCTGTGGTCTCCAGATGGACATTGGGCACCTCCAGGTGGGCGTTGGTCACCTCTGTGGTCTCCAGGTGGACACTGGGCACCTCCAGGTGACCACTGGGCACCTCTGATGTCTCCAGGTGGACATTGGTCACCTCCGTGGTCTCCAGGTGGACACTGGGCACTTCCAGGTGGACGTTGGTCACCTCTGATGTGTCCAGGTGGACATCGAGCACCTCCTCAGCAGCTCCCAGGTGGACACTGGTCACATCCATGGGCTCCAGGTGGGCATTGGTCACCTTGGTGGCCTCGAGATGGACAGTGGTGACCTCAGGTGGGGGTGGCACCACCTGGAGCTGGACGTTGGTGGCACCCGGAGGTGGTGGCAGCACCTGGAGCTGGACATTGGTCACCTCAGGCGGGGGTGGCACCACCTGGAGCTGGACGTTGGTGGCACCTGGAGGTGGTGGCACCACGTGGAGCTGGACATCGGTCACCTCAGGTGGGGGTGGCACCACCTGGAGCTGGACACTGGTCACCTCAGGCGGGGGTGGCACCACGTGGAGCTGGACGTTGGTGACACCTGGGGGAGGTGGCACCACCTGGAGTTGGACATTGGTCACTTCACCTGCCTGGAGATGGACATCGGTCACCTCAGGTGGAGGTGGCACCACCTGGAGTTGGACGTTGGTCACCTCGGTGGCCTGGAGCTGGACATTGGTGACCTCAGGTGGGGGTGGCAGCACCTGGAGCCGGACATTGGTCACCTGGGGGGGTGGTGGCAGCACCTGGAGCTGGACATTGGTCACCTCGGTGGCCTGAAGCTGGACATTGGTGACCTCAGGTGGGGGTGGCATCACCTGGAGCTGGACATTGGTCACCTCCGAGGGCAGCGGCAGCAGCTGGAGCTGCACACCTGTGACACCCACACCTGTGGCACCCAAATTTGTCACACCTGTCCCACCCAAACTTGTCACACCTGTCACACCTGTCACACCCACACCTGTCACACCTGTCACACCTGTCCCACCCAAACTTGTCACACCTGTCACACCTGTCACACCCACACCTGTCACACCTGTGACACCTGTGACACCTGTCCCAGCAACACCAGTCAAACCTGTCCCACCTGTCACCTCCCTGGCCTGCACCTGCACATTGGTGACATCCAACCGTGGTGACACCTGGACATTGGTCACCTCTGGGGCTGCTGGCAGCACCTGGAGCTGCACACCTGTGACTCCCACACCTGTGCCACCCAAATTTGTCACACCTGTCACACCTGTGACCCCTGTGACCCCACCTACACCTGTCGCACCTGTCCCACCCACACCTGCCCCACCTGTCACACCTGCACTTGTCACACCTGTCCCACCCACAGCTGTCACACCTGCCCCACCCACACCTGTGACACCCACACCTGTCACACCTGTCACACCCAGACCTGCCACACCTGTCACACCTGCACTTGTCAAACCTGTCACACCCACACCAGCTATACCAGCCACACCTGTCACACCTACACCTGTCACACCTGTCCCACCTGCCACACCGGTCACACCTACACCAGTCACACCTGTGACCCCAGTCACACCTACACCTGTTCCACCTGCTGCACCTGTCACACCTGTGACCCCAGTCACACCTATACCTGTCACACCAGTTACACCTGTGACCCCACCCACACCTGTCGCACTTGCCACACCTACACCAGTCACACCTGCCCCACCCACACCCGTCACACCAGTGACACCAGTCACACCTGCACCTGTCACACCAGTTACACCTGCCACACCTACACCTGTTCCACCTGCCGCACCTGCCACACCAGTTACACTTGTCAAACCTGTGACCCCAGTCACACCTGCACCTGTCACACCAGTCACACCTGCACCTGTCCCACCTACACCTGTCACACCTGTCACACCTGTGACCCCAGTCACACTCATACCTGTCACACCAGCACCCGTCACACCTGCCCCACCCACACCTGTCACACCAGTGACACCAGTCACACCTGTCACACCTGCCACACCTGTGACCCCAGTCACACCTACACCTGTCACACCAGTCACACCTGCACCTGTCCCACCTACACCTGTTCCACCTGCCGCACCTGCCACACCAGTTACACCTGTCACACCTGTCACCCCAGTCACACCTACACCAGTGACACCAGTGACACCAGTGACACCTGTCACACCCGCCACCTCCGCCACCTGCAGCCTCAGCCCCGCCCCTTCCCCAGGTACAATCAGCACTCCCTGCCAGGTGCTCCGCCCCCCTCCCACCTGCGCCAGGTGCGCCTGGGCGTGGCCTGGATGGGCGTGACCCGGCTGGGCGTGTCCTATCTGGGCGTGGCCTGTCTGGGTGTGTCCTATCTGGGCGTGGCCCAGCTGGGTGTGACCTGTCTGGGCGTGACTTATCTGGGCGTGTCCTATCTGGGCGTGTCCTATCTGGGCGTGTCCTATCTGGGCGTGACCCGGCTGGGTGTGTCCTATCTGGGCGTGTCCTATCTGGGTGTGTCCCGTCTGGGCGTGGCCTGGCTGGGCGTGGCCTGGCTGGGCGTGTCCTATCTGGGCGTGTCCTATCTGGGCGTGTCCTATCTGGGCGTGGCCTATCTGGGCGTGTCCCATCTGGGCGTGGCCTGGCTGGGCGTGTCCTATCTGGGCGTGGCCTGTCTGGCCGTGTCCTATCTGGGCATGGCCTATCTGGGCGTGTCCCATCTGGGCGTGTCCTATCTGGGCGTGTCCTATCTGGGCGTGACCCGTCTGGGCATGGCCTATCTGGGCGTTTCCTATCTGGGCATGTCCCATCTGGGCGTGGCCCAGCTGGGTGTGGCCCATCTGGGCGTGTCCCATCTGGGCGTGTCCAGGCGCAGCCGGCAGCAGCAGCACCTTGCTCTGCGCCCCACCACCACCTGCAGGAAGCAGCAGCAGGTACACCCCGCGGGCGTGTCCGGCGGCGGGCGCGTCCCCCCGCTCAGGTGCGCAGCGGTGACGATGGCGGCGGTGACACGAGCCGGTCCCGTGTGTGCGCAGGTGCCGCTGCAGGTACGCGGCCACGGCGAAAGCCTTGGGGCAGGCGGGGCAGCGGAACGGCCGC